ATTAAACAATTGGAATTTTATCGTTTTTAGAGATTTTCATGCTGTCTGGTAAGTAAAGGTGTAAGTTATCTTAGAAAAAATGCAGAATACCGATAGATCTAAAATACTATTTGTTTTAAAGGATAAAGCTAAGCGCCAATTACGTTATACGATTTCAAGTCCGATTTGCATCATACATCTAAGAACCGACTTAGATACACCAAGAAATTCTACAATAGAAAAAATAGATGAACCTACAATTTCGGGCCACCCGAATATTTCTAGTTTTAGGTCTAATGTTAGACTAAAACTAACGCAAGACCTAGAACTAGAATCATTCGGGTTTAGCAGTCTTGAGAGACGTGGGACTAAATCCACATGTTTCTAGTTCTCGGTCTAGTGTTAGTTCTAGCGCTAGTTAGCATAAGATAATACTACACTCAGCGGCATAAAAAAACGCATCACCTAGTATGATGACCAGTTTTAAACTGAAATAACTTTTGAACGTATTGGTCGGTTATTTTATTTGGAAGGTCTACCATTTATCAATTTTCTGTAGGTGCCTTCCCCATTTTGGCGCTCTTCAATTTCAGCACTTCGAAGCTTGCTGTAGGGTGCACCGACAAAAGAAATTAATTTTAAACATAAAGAGTTTTTAGTCTCGTCTGTTCTGATCACTTCTGTTTTTTATCAAGTTTCTATTATTGTTAATACCAAAGTACAAGCTCTAAAAGATAACGCAGCTTGTTCTGCAGCGCCATCAGAAATTAAAGCAAGTCATGGGTGTCGATGAAATTTAATTAAACTGTGACAAATAAACCAATTTCCTCTCCTCGCTTGAATGGTATCCTTCATCCTTCGAGGCATACTTCAAATCAGATTTTGAATTTCATTTTGCGGAATCTGGCACTTTTCTTTTAGAGATTATCTAGCGTTTACATAGCGGATCTAATTCGTTTTCCCACATGTGTTCTATACGATTTAAAGCAGAGCTATGTGCAGGCCATTCCATTCTCTTGATATCCAAATCATTCAGGTATTGGGACACTATGCGGGCTGTATGGTAACGTGCATTATTGTGCTGAACAAGAAGTTGTCAACAATAAATGGGCCGAAGTGTTCAGCCAACATTTCTTCAATATACCGAGCAAAAGTGTAGGAAGAAAACACGCTTTAGCACTATTCACAATTGCTGAAATTGAATAACGCCAAAATGGGGAAGGCACCTACAGAAATATAGAAGGAGGTAGACCTTTAAAAAAAAACTTATTCAAATTGAGCAATACGTTCAAAAGTTATTGCAGTTTGAAACTGGTCATCATTTTAGGTGATGCGTTTTATTTTTTATGCCGATAGAAACATTCAGGTTTAATCGTGAAAAGTCTTTCAGTTGCCAATGTCAACTTTAATTCTATTATTATATTCGCAATCTTCATAAAATAACCTTTAAAATGAGTCCAAACGTGACGCATTTACCTCAAAAAACCATAAAGTTCGAACTTTCAACTTTTAATTTTGACATATTTGTCAACTTCATAAAAAATCCTTTAAAGTGAGTCCAAAGTCGACGATTACAAATATGTCAAAATTGACGTTGACATTTTTAACCGGAAGTTGACCATAACTTCATTAATATTGAAAATAAATATGTCGTGTTTGTACTCATTTTAAAGGATTTTTAATGAAGCTTACAAATATGTCAAAATTGAGGTTGACATTTTGAACCTGAAGTTAGTTATCATATAATAGAAGTTTTATAACTGAAGTTAATCTAGTGTTAGTCACTTTTCCGCACTTTCTTTTTATTTTTAACGTTTTTTTTCGGATCATTTCACATTGATTAAAAAAATCGTCGATTTTTAAGCCACATGATGATTCTTGAATTTTTCCCAAGTTTTTTAATATTTCTTTTGTTAAAAAAGAGCGTTCTTAAATTTTAACCTGTAAACTTGTAACACTTCGTCCTTAATTTCATTTTACAACTTTTTAAACTTTAATTTTGTAAATTAGTACCTAATAATCTGATTTCGACTTTGATATGTGATCTTTTTTCACAAAACAAAAAGAAATATTAGGAAACTTTTTTGTAAAATGGATAAGATGAGAGATGTTAATCTATTTGTAGAGTTTCTGAAGATAGCCAGTTTAAATGTACATAATCAAAGTCTAGATTATTTTCTTGCAGAAACACCCTGTATAATCGTAAAACGTCACGAGTGGCCAAGCGGCTTCTGTGCTTGTGATAGCTGTTATCAGTGTTTTGTGATAAAAATGGGCAGGCACCAAACAATTTTCAATAGTTTGTGCCTGTTTATTCTGAGAAGTCTTATATTTTTAGCGAGATAAAAACGAAAACCCCATTTTTCGAAAACTGCTATTAAAAGTTGACTTTTGCGTAGTACTTAGCGACCGTCAAAACGAGAGTTTTTTGTCAACAGGACGTAAAAGTCTTTTGCGTCCTGGACGTAACGATCGCTAAAAACTTTTGTTCTCGAATGCAAAAGTGTCATTTCGCTATCTTGTATCAAAAATAACTATTTTCTCAACATTATTCATTTGTCGCTTAGTAAAGTGATGCATAACGCGGTCCAATTGAATATAATAATAATTTACACCATTTTTTGATCGATCCAATCGGATCCTATTTTGCCGTATGTGGTCATGTTGCTGGGTTCGATATTTATACAGGGTGTCACACAAAAAACGCCCCAAGCTGTAACTCTGTCATTGACATTACGATTTTTATGCGCTGGGTATCAAATGAAATAGTTTCATGAATACTATGATTCATGCTACAAATAATTTTTTTCCAAGGCCATCTTCAATTTTAAGCGATTAATAACTTTTTGTTTTTCAAATTGCTCTATATATTTTTCTTTTCGTTATTGGATAGAGATTGTTTTTCTGAATCCACTGATGTACCATGGACGATTTCGACTCCCCTAAGGAGCTACACCCCTCCAAAATGGCGGAAAATTTTGGACCCCCATTGATGTACAATACATTAACATTAATTGTAATTTTAGCAGAGAAAAACAATTAAAACATTTTCCGAACATTGTCTCTAGTGTGTCATAGAAAAAAATAACGGACAAAACTGATAACAGTCATTAAATGTTATTTCAATACCCGAAGCAGTTGTAAATGATACTTATAAGTTGTTTATTTTATTTTTTCCCATGGCACACTACAATATACCACAAGTGACTTTAAGAGAATGTTCGGAAACTATTTTAATGTTTTTCTCTGCTACAATTATAATTAATGTTGATGTATTGTACATTCATGGATTCAGAAAGAAAATTTCTATCCAATAACGCGAAGAAAAACTTACCGAGCAATTTGAAAATGAAAAGTTATAATCGCTTGAAATTGAAGATGGCGTTGGAAAAAGTTTATTTGTAGCATGAATCATAGTATTCATGAAACCATTTCATTTGATACCCAGCTCATGATAATCGGAATGTAAATAACAGAGTTACAGCTTGGGGCGTTTTTTGTGTGAGACCTTGTATAATTGGTTATTTTTCGTTTGCAAATCCATATCCATTCTAGAATATACAGATATGAAGGGTCATACACCTACGCTGTCTAAAAGTTTCTCTGCAATTGTCGTAATATCTCAGACCTCCAACTATTCTTATTGATCTTCTTTATATCCCGAAGATTCGCTTAGCCATACTAGAGTGGTCTCAGGCTATTAGTCCATAAGTGATATGGATGTGATATGATTGTAGCAATGAGAACTATACTGTTCGCAGCGCTGTAACGGTTCCGTTTGAGGTTATTGAATTTCTTAGATTTCGTTCTTTAAATCGTTATTTTTCGTATTCATATTCTAATAGTTCGCGCTTTTTTTAGTGGAGTTGTTGCGTGCTTCTTTTTGATTGGTCGGATGAATGCGGAACGTTAAATTTCCGGTCGCGATCTGGGAGAGACGAGAAAAGGTCGTGGTCTCGAGAAGATCTTGTCTCACTGTCGTTAGTGGTTCAGTTAAATTTTAGAATGAGTGAAAACAGTGACAGATAGTTGTTTCAGCAAAAAAGCAGCAGAATAAAGAGTCTAGATATAAACCCAGAAACTTGTATTCAGGAATAGGTTCCACCTAGTCATCTGTGTGCAAGGTGAAGACCAGGTTAAGTGTCTTACTTGCATTTAGGGTCAGGTTATTGCTACTAAACCAAACCTTAGCTAATTCAAATGTATTACTTTGTACCGCTGTAGCCGCATTCAAACAAGACAGTACATTAGATAGGTCATTGATATAAATGAGAAATAAAATAGGACCCAATATGGAATCCTATGGCACACAGTATTTAATACTACTGAGTTTCGAAAGAGACTATTAGTTTATTGAGAATTTCGCGATTTATAATATAATGTAACATCTTTAAAGATATATAACTATTTTTCGTTGTATAGTAATTCTTGAAAATGTTAAATTTTAATTTACGTACTCACTCGCCTGCGCTTTTTCTTCTGACGCATCATCGCCCATAGTGGAAACATACCGGGGGTTATTATTATTCCATTTTCGACCGTCTTTCTCAAAATCCCTTGGCATGCCAACTTCAATAGGAAGTCTCTTTTTGAGGTGACGACTTTTTCCGCTTTCCGAATGTCATCGAATTATTACAATTAATTGACACCATCTTACGTCGTCTTGACATAAGATGGTAGACGTTTGCAAAGTTAAAACGAACACGATTGACAAGAACGTAAAACTAACTTAATTCAATTAAACTCAGTTTTAATTAAATTAATTATCGCTTAATGTAGAAACACTTGACCTCAATAAAAATTAATTAAACTTACTTTTTCCTTTTCGTCCATCGAAATTTTAAAAGTACTTTTGTTTAAACTTATTGTTCAAAGTGAGACGTTTCGTTACCGTATGATAACCATACTGGTATCATTTACTCAATAGTTAAATAAATAACACTTGCATATTTTAGATATTGCGTTAAAAAATTACACATTAGAAAATAACATTTTCAGTCATAAAATAAGAGCACATATAATATTATTATTACAATAATTTATTAATTAAATAACAATCCTAGTAAATAAATATCACAATTTGTTCAAATCCACTCGAATGAATCAATTTTTACCAAAAAATATTGAAAATTTAGCGACGAATTTCAAAGCTGCTGAATTGACCACTTTTCGCCTCTTTCTCATTGGAGAAAACCGCTTTATCGATACGTGATGAAGGACTCCCCGTTTTCTCCAACCAACGTTTCCTAATTTAACAAAAAAATAAATTTAAATAATTTAATAAAAAAAAGATTTTTGTAATAACTTACATTTGGCTAATTTTTTCTGAGTCGCCCTCTAAAATTCCTTGAACAGTTCCTTTTTCAGTATTCATACACCATCCGGTTAATCCCAACTTTTTAGCTTCTTGTTGAGTATACTATATTAAAAAAATTTAGTTAAAAATAAATTTTTTAAAATTATAAAATTAAATTTAACAAAATTGAATGTAGGCAACACATTTCACACCTGTCATATAAGTCATATAAACGTCAACACAGACTTTATAATTTTATCAAATTCGTTTTCAATATTATATTTATAGAATTGTAATGTTATAGGGACATTAGTTAATGCGAAATTTAAACATAATTTATGATTTACCTTGCGGAAAAACACTCCTACAATTAAAAAGTAAGGTTATGTCAAGTGAATATAATTGAAGGCGATTTATCTCACCTTGTACTCTTCCGTACACCTCAAAATCGACCGATAACTTTCGGCTCATATTATTATTCGTATGATCTGATAGTAAAACACCTAAAACGAATAACCAAAGAGCTTGTATAATAACATTCACCATTCAAGTTTCAAGCTGTCTGATTGATCGAAATGTAAATATTTAAGGGTTGCCAAGAGATGGCGTAATATAACCTGTCAAATAAAAAATTAATATGTTTACTAAAACGTGTTCAAGTGGTTATTTACATACTAAAAATATTATAATAAATATTATTTTTATCCGTTTATTTAATTTTGTTTAAGTTATCTATTTGGAGGAAACATCAAATTTAATTCATTCTCAAGAGATGGCGCAACGTCACTCATCTGTCATTCGAACTGTCAAATTGAATCATATGTTGTTTGTGGTTATTATTACGCTGTATCTATGACGTTTACATCAAAAACGGTACGTTTATCTGTGATATTATAATAGTTTATTTTGATAAGTAAAATTCGATAGGTTTCATTCATTTTAAGTGAAGGAATCGTGTGTTTGATTTAAATCTTCAGGTGACATTTCGTGACGTAACGTGCCGAAATGAACGAATACGTAGCGGTTTAGAACGGGCGAAGCGGGACGTGGTCTTTACAATTTGGTATTTTAACAACACGAGCAACTGACAGTGTTCTTCTTGACGATACGATGTGAGTACGGGAGTTAAACCATCACCGTAAACGGATTCCCAAAAATGACGATAACAAGCATGTTGGTGTCTGTAGCCGAACTTTCAAACATACTATCCATTCTGGCGGTGTTTTTCTGTTTTTGCGCCATGATCCTGTTTATTACCAGGTTAGTTTAAATATACCTTGTTTTTAGTTTTTAAATATTTGCTTAAAAATAGACATTCTAGCAAACAATGTTTTTTCAACGTTATTTGAATGTTACATTTTTAAGGCAATACAAATTTGAGTATTAAACATTCCATTTGATACTTTATTTTTTTTTAAGTTAATTCATTGTGTTGTGGCTTATCTCTTAATCATGAACAATTTAAAATTCTAATAAAAAAGATATCATCCTTTATCTTATAATTATTCTTGGGAAGAAAAGTTATAAACAAGAATTTGATTTCTTTTCAGCAGTAAAAAATTATAGAAATAATTACTCATTTTATTGTTATGTTGCTAAACAAATTAGTCCCCTTAACATTAAAAAAAGCACTTTATTACTACCTATTACTTAAGAATAATAAAGATGCTAATAAAACTTGTTATGACTCAGAAGATGATAGTAATAATTTAACTGATATACTTTGTTAATAATTTTAATATATTACTACAATTTGTTAAATCCTTTTAGAAATATTCAGGTTTTACTTTTCATTTCTTAGATGATTATTTTTAATCATAAGATTTTTTTTTACAATAAGATTACGTATAGTTCTTTACATAATTTAATAATGTAGATACAACACACTTTTACTTCTTCGCCTCTACGAAGTAAATAGACCAGTAACTCCAATGATACGGTGACGTAATACTTCGTTGTGCTACTTGAATTTTATTTCTTTTACACTTATTGTGAATCTGAACGACCTTTTTTTACACTTATGTTAGATAAGTTGACACTACATTAAAAAAAATGTTGTGTTGAATTGGAGTAGATAAATTGAATTATTTTTTTTATAATTTTTATATAACTTGAACTAAAATTAAAACTAGAACTAACACTGTGAAAGCCTTCGTACTTATTTTATATAACTTCTGCACATAATGTTTTGATTATTTTGAACTCTAACAAATCTATTTTCATGTGCTGTTTTATAATGACATCTATTATTGTTGATACATTACAACTTTATGGCTTCAACCCGACTTTAATTTTTAATATGTTACACCTTGACCGCTTTGCTTTCGTAATCACATTCATCAATTGTATCTTCTACTTCTTTGTTCTTTGCTAAAGCCTTATAAAGACTAGTTCGCATGACCTATACAGAAATCAAACTTCATACCAACATTTACATACAGGTGTCCCAAGACTCAACGTCAAGCGGGCACCGGGTGAGAGGCCAACCCATACCTGTTCTGGTAAAAATAAGAAAAAAATTCTATGTCTCTTAGTTACGTGGTAATAGACATATTTTTGAAAATGTTAAAAATCGTTCCCGTACATCTTCTTCGTATCTTTACGGTCAGAAATGTTCGCAATTTAATAGTGATTTTTATAATAATGTATTCCTCATGAACCATGCTACTATAGCAGTCACAAATCGAACAACAAAAGTAGTTAGTTTTGCAAGAAAAAGTATCAGTTTGATTGAGTTAAGGTTGAAAGAATTTATGTCTGTTAAGTTTGACACACGATTTCTAAACAAAGGACTAGTACAACACCCTTGGCAAGTTATTTTAAAAGATGGCCTGTTTAGTCAAGATTCCAAAATGGTATAACACTTACCATTTTTCTTTTCCTAAAAAATATTATTGCCTGTTTTTCTGCCAAAAACGCGTTATTTAAAAAATTCATACTTTCTATGTTATCTGTATTTCCTCCAAAATGATTTAACAACTTTGTTAGAAGATGTGCTACTCAATATCTACAGAGAAATGTGGTTTGCACAAGATGGTTGCCCAGCTCATTATGCTTGTCCTGTACGGGATTGCATACAGAATACCCAGAAAGATGGATTGGGCGTCGTGGTTCGATTACGTGGCCTCCTCATTCTCTGGGTCTAAATCCCCTTGATTTTCTTATTAGGATTGCATAAAAGAATCAGTGTATTAAAAATCGATTGAAAATCTTGCCGAATTGCTCCACAATATTTATACAGCAGCAGAAGAAATAAATGCAAAGAGATTTGCACAACTAGTAAAAAGATCTTTTCTGTGACGATGCAGAGCTTGTATTAGTGCCGACGGCAAATAATTTGAGCATTTGCCTTAGTTTTAAGAAAATAATGCTATAAAATTAATAATAAATAAATTTGTTTGTTTAATTTTGTCTTTAGGTTAACTTTATTTGAAAGAGTCTTTTTGCAAGACATACGGGCAACCATCTTGTTGAATCCACATTTTGTAGTTCGTAGATATTGACTGGCACATCTTCTAACAAAGTTAATGAAGTTATGAATTTTTTAAATAACGTGTTTTTTGCAGAAAAGCAGGCAATAATATTTTTTATGATAAGAAAAATGGCAAGTGTTGTACCATTTTGGAAACTTGACTAAACAGGCCATCTTTTAAAATTACTTGCCAAGGGTGTTGTACTACTCCTTTTTTTAGAAATCGTGTGTCAAACTTGATAGACATAAATTCTTTCAACCTTAACTCAATCAAATTAATATATTTTTTTGCAAAATTAACGNAGTTTTTAAATATTTGCTTAAAAATAGACATTCTAGCAAACAATGTTTTTTCAACGTTATTTGAATGTTACATTTTTAAGGCAATACAAATTTGAGTATTAAACATTCCATTTGATACTTTATTTTTTTTTAAGTTAATTCATTGTGTTGTGGCTTATCTCTTAATCATGAACAATTTAAAATTCTAATAAAAAAGATATCATCCTTTATCTTATAATTATTCTTGGGAAGAAAAGTTATAAACAAGAATTTGATTTCTTTTCAGCAGTAAAAAATTATAGAAATAATTACTCATTTTATTGTTATGTTGCTAAACAAATTAGTCCCCTTAACATTAAAAAAGCACTTTGTTATTACCTATTACTTAAGAATAATAAAGATGCTAATAAAACTTGTTATGACTCAGAAGATGATAGTAATAATTTAACTGATATACTTTGTTAATAATTTTAATATATTACTACAATTTGTTAAATCCTTTTAGAAATATTAAGGTTTTACTTTTCATTTCTTAGATGATTATTTTTAATCATAAGATTTTTTTTTACAATAAGATTACGTATAGTTCTTTACATAATTTAATAATGTAGATACAACACACTTTTACTTCTTCGCCTCTACGAAGTAAATAGACCAGTAACTCCAATGATACGGTGACGTAATACTTCGTTGTGCTACTTGAATTTTATTTCTTTTACACTTATTGTGAATCTGAACGACCTTTTTTTACACTTATGTTAGATAAGTTGACACTACATTAAAAAAAATGTTGTGTTGAATTGGAGTAGATAAATTGAATTATTTTTTTTATAATTTTTATATAACTTGAACTAAAATTAAAACTAGAACTAACACTGTGAAAGCCTTCGTACTTATTTTATATAACTTCTGCACATAATATTTTGATTATTTTGAACTCTAACAAATCTATTTTCATGTGCTGTTTTATAATGACATCTATTATTGTTGATACATTACAACTTTATGGCTTCAACCCGACTTTAATTTGAAACCACATTTTGTAGTTCGTAGATATTGACTGGCACATCTTCTAACAAAGTTAAGAGGAAATAAAATGTAAATACAAATAACATACAAAAGTATGAATTTTTTAAATAACGTGTTTTTTGCAGATAATAAAAAATGGAAAAGCAGGCAATAATATTTTTTATGATAAGAAAAATGGCAAGTGTTGTACCATTTTGGAAACGTGACTAAACAGGCCATCTTTTAAAATTACTTGCCAAGGGTGTTTTACTACTCCTTTTTTTAGAAATCGTGTGTCAAACTTGATAGACATAAATTCTTTCAACCTTAACTCAATCAAATTAATATATTTCTTTGCAAAACTAACGATTTTTGTTGTTTGATTTGTGACTTCTACTGTAGCATGGTTCATAAGGAATACATTATTAAAAAAATCACTCTTAAATTGCGAACATTTCTGACCGTAGTACCTAAAGATATAATGTACAGGACCGATTTTTAACGTTTTCAGAAATATGTATATTACTACTTAACTAAAAGACATGGAATTTCTTTCTCATTTTTACCAGAACAGGTATGGGTTGGCCTCTCACCCGGTGCCCGCTTGACATTGAGTTTCGGCACAGCCTGTATATATAGGAGCCCCCAACCAAAGCTTTTAATGACAACTAACGAAAAATTTGAGATTGAGTTCATCGATTTCCTACAAGGATATAAATGGTTATTGAAGTATTTTGCGTAACTTGTAATTGTAATTTGGTTATCTTTACGATTTGTTTTTTGTTCTTTACAAAAGACTCTCCACCATAGTTAACTAGGTCTTTGAAAAATCGTTTATGATACTTTATATAATTCAGTACAACATTCTATTATTTCAACAACAACATGGCTTTCTTCGCGACCGAGCTGTAGATACTAATCTGGTATCCAACACAAAATACTTTTGTATGAATGATTCCGTAGTACAAGTAAATGCGAAAACTGATCCGGGGGCCGATATAGGATCTGATCATTATACAGTAGTGACTAATATACGACTAAGTTGATGGTGATGCCATACAGGGAGGTGGGAAAGAGAATTGACCTGGGAATCCTGAGGGAGGAAAGAGCTAGACCAGTTACGTCCGAACAACGGAACAGCAAGCTTTGAATACTGAAATCAAGCTTAAAAAATGATAAATTAGATATAGAAAACATCTGGAGCAGTATTAAAGATATAGTTGTTGGAGTAATAAACAGCAATCTATAGAATCAAGAGTGAGGAAGAAGAAAGAATGGATGGCTCAGGAGATTCTGAATCTGATGGACAAGAGGAGAGAAGCCAAGAATCATCAGGAGGGCGTATAAGAGATTGAATGGGAAATTAGGAGGAAGATCGGGGAGGCAAAGGAGAACTGGATGAGGGACAAATGTGAGGAAATCGAGGAACTTCAACGCAAGAATGACATGCACATCATGCATAAGGAAACAAAAAGAATATTGCGCGTTAATAAGAAAA